TTCTTCAAATGCTTTAATTCCATATAAAATCAAATTAAATCCCTTTAAAAATAATGTCCGAGCCAAGAAGTTTCGAGGTCACAATGCAATTGCAGTAACAGTAAAGTGAATAAATAGTTGATGTAATTGGAATATGTAACAACAAATTGAATGGGTAGTCAAGGCAACGAATGTTATGAATCATGCACAGCTCTCTCGGAGGAGTCGAGCGTAACAACACTGACATTTGTTCCTCTTTTTGGGTGCGACAGTCGAAGTACTTTGATATCCAGGCCAATCAGCTGTCGGACATCATGTGCCGCGGCGCGGTGGTCAGTTCCATACAGTCGGCCAATAATACGCTTACCAGAGGCGTCTCGCTGCACAGTCGCAGCGGTAGCGCCCATGGCAGCCATCACAGTCACAGTCACCATGGCAGCGCCCACGGTTCGTTGGGCTGCCTGCAGGGCGGTGTGGGAGTAGGCGTGGGCACAGGCAGCACCGGCAGCATTGGCATGATGTCTGCCAGCCACATTGATACCGGCGATTACGATGTGCCGCATCCGCATCCATATACGCATCACTATATGCAGACGACGGCATCCGTGACGCCGCCGCATGCAACGCTGAGCAGGCCGGGATCGGCTGGCGCCGTTTGCACCGGCCACGATTCGGGCTCCGATTCGAGCCAGGGCTGCGGTGGCTCCATCATGGGTGGCATGCTGGTCATGGGCCATGCCGGACACATGGGCAGCCTAGGACATCATAGTACCGGGAGCGGTTCGCTGGGTCGCTGCTCGAGCCGCTGCCACAACACCACCACCACCGATGATTCCGGTGGCGGCAGCAGCGGCGGCGGCGGTGGTGGTGGCGGTGGCGGCAGTGGTGTCGGTATGGGCACCACTGTTGCTGTCGGCGGCCCCGGCATGCTAATGGACTATCATCATGGCCATCATAGCGGCAGCGCTGGCAGCGGCCTAAACGGCTGCGGCGCCGGCGGCAGCATCGCTGGCGGCAGCATCGGCGGACGCAGCAGCGTCCTGGGCACCATACACAATGGCCACGGCCATCATCATCAGCAATACCATCACGAGTGCATCCACTACGAGCGGCTGCCTATTCCCGTGCCTATTCCCACGGTTCCCATGGGCGTTACGCAACAGCAGCAGCAGCAGCAGCAGCAGCATCAGATGCCCTCACAGCATCAACTGCAATCGGAGGAGGAGATCGAACCAGCCTATGCAACAGGTATAGTTTGAGGTCTGAGCCAAGATTCTCTCAATAACTTATGACTCTTACTCACTCAAGTATTAAAAGTGAGAAGAGATAAATATCAGAAAGTTTTATATATATTTATTAAACTTTTTATTTTAAATAAATTTTATTTTATACAAAATTGTTGTAACTCATAATTTATTAGCCAGATTTACATTTAACTAAATATTATTCGAGTATTTTACTTTTAATTTGTTATACATGAAGTCAAATAAATTTTTGGTTTATATAAACAGAAATATATTAATTTAATTTTTCTTTTGTTATCTATAAATTTGAGCTAAACTAAAAAAAAAGTCTTATGTCTTTACTTGAAAAACCTTAAACAACGATATAAAAAATATTTATTTGCTCACAAATTTAAAATAAATATAAGCAAAACCTCTTTAAAGTTAGTTAAACACATTTGAATAATATTTGCTTGAACCTGAATGCAGCGAACGTTTATTGAGAGTGTTGCAAACTCGTTTTTATTCACGTTTATTTCGTGATAGACTTTATTATTATTATTAGCTTAACTTAAGTTATATATTATAAATGCGTATATTTATTTATACTGTGTGTTGCTCAGGAAATGCGTAGTGGGACAATCTATAATAATATATAATATATACCCAATATAATATTTATAGCTAAGGAAGAATTTTTTTAATGGATTTTTTCTTTAAGAAATATAAATATTTGAGGTCGTACATACATAGTTTTACATGTGTAAAATAATAATAAGTTATAGTTTTACATGTGTTATATTAAGAAATATGTATATACTATTTTTAGTATATATAGCAATGTTATAATTGATAGGAATATCAGGTCAGGAGTATGCCCTAATTTTAAAAATTCTCTCACTTTAAAAAATATGTCTTTATTTATCTTAATATATTTAACCTTATTATTAATTAGAAACATATCAAATTAATTATTCATACATTCTTAAACTATCTGCACTTTTAGAGCTTCAAGCAACCTTTTATATTTATCAAATATCTTAAACAATTTATTAAATTTTATTGAGAGCAGTTTCTTAATAGACCTTGCTCTGATTATGAACTTCATATATGAAGTTAAGTATTTCTACTTTTGGTCAACATTTATAACTAGATGGCAAAACCAGTATTATAAGATCTCTTGCGAATCTTTAAGTATTTCTTATTAAGTTGTTTTCCTATTTGAAATATGCCAATAGGAATTTTGCACTTCTTTCCAAACCACTAATTTCCAGCCCTGATCTTATCGTCTGCGCTTGTTCGTTGCGCTCTCACTTGCTCCCAATTAGTCTTCTGCACGTCGTCGTCGTCGTCGTTGTTGTCCGATTCTTGTGACATTTCAATAGCCTCTTGAGTCTGTTAATTCTGTTTTCTTTTATGCGGTTTTTGTTGCTGTTGCTTTTGCCCCTTTTGTTGTACATTTTGATTTCGGTTCTTTTGCCCGCGTTTCGCTGCTTTGCCGCAGTTCGCAGCTAAAGCTCGCGCGGTTCAGACGGCTGTCGCGTGCCGCAGAAAACGAAAATATTCATAAATTCTATTTTATTTTGTTGTACATAATTTGTTTCACTTTACTTTGTTGTTGTTCAACTAATATTAATTGGCAACAGTTGTGACGCCGCTGTCTGACCCGCGCTGAACTGCCGCACTGAAAGACGATGATCATCTGGAGCGGCTTCTGCGAGGCGGCCCAAATTTACAGCAGCCAAACGGCCAGCTTTATGAGCGGCGGCGTCTCGTGTTAGTATTGATCTGATGGAGCCACTTAAAGTGTCAATGGCTGTCTCTATTTGGATGCCACATTCGCGTGTGTGAGATCAGTGTGGAAGCATTTATGAATCAATAATAGTCTCATTGGCAGCTAATGGCCTTTGCTTTTGCCTTCTGTTTTATGTTTTTTGTTGTTGTTTTATTATAAGTATATTTGTTTAATCAACATCAGTAATCAGAGTTTCGAAATATGCGTTGGTATTGCCATTGTATGTGCTATTTTTATTCCACAGGAATTGTATACTATGTTAGGTGTTTAAAATGCACTGCAAATACGTTCCACATATATTTTAGATGCATTTAATATAGCATATACAGTACACATGCTTACATTCCACATGGGTTACACATGGTTACCAGGCCAAATGCGCGCTAATACATATATTCCACATGCTTTTCATATAGCATACACATATATGGCTACATGAGCAATACGTTCCACATTCATTCTATATACATATATTCCACATGCTTTTCATATAGCATACACATATATGGCTACATGAGC